GTGTGTGTGTGTGTCGGGGAGGGGAGCTGGAGAGGGACACACACACACACACACACACAACCTCCCTCTCACAACCTGGACTGTGCTGTCTCCCACCTGCAGAAATCCACCGCATCGTGTCACAGAGGCAGATAACCGGGCAGCAGGAGCCGGAATTTGGATCCAGCACAGTCATTGATCCCATCAAAGTCCTGCCCACTCACCAGGAGGGGAAACAGACGCCCTGCTGCCAGAACATCTGAGCCTGACGGGAGGCTCCAGGGGCAACTGAACCCCAGCCATTGTCTCCCTCCCCCCGCCACCCTTGCGGTCACTTCCTGGGGAGAGGGCAGTGCCTGAGCATGTGTTGCATAACACCCTGTAGTTTCCTTTTCTCTTGTTCCCTCCCATCGCTCTGGGCTTTTGTACTTAATGTAGGTCCTATATAAACATAAGTGGGCCACGGCCGCCTCCTTGGGGAAATGGTGTTACGTCTCCAAGGTCATCGTGCCCTCTGGTATCCCTTCCTTCCCATGCACTGTTGGACTTATGTTTATTATAGGGCCTACGCTAATGGGGGACGATGCATTGTCGGGTCTTCCCCTTTGGCCCAGAGTTGTGACATCTCGCCGCTCTCTAGTTCTAGCTGCGCCCTCTGGCCACTCCCCTCCGCCCCGGAAAACTTGGATCCTGCATGAATCAATCCAAGTCATGGGCAAGTTCTGATACGATAGCCAAGCCGGGTCCTGGCTATTAACGATGCTATGATGGGAGGAGGCAGGTTCGGCGTGGGGGTTGCCTGGCCATTGGGCTGGGGTCCGTTCTCCTCGGGCTCACGTCTGGCCCTGGAGAACCGTACCGTGAGCGGCGTTCTCTTGATCCACCCAGAGCGGCCCAGTTCCCAGGAACGCCGGGTGGCTTCTCCGCAGCTCTAACATGCACAAGGGGTCCTGCCAGCTACCGGGCAGGCTTGCTAGACAGGTCTGGTTGGTTCACTGGGGAGAGACTATTGCGGATCACCAAGCTCTTCTGTCTGCACCGAGGTGGGCCAGAACCAGCATGCAGTTACACCCCTCTTCCTCCGCAGTGACTCTGCTGAAAGCCCCGGGGCTGTGCCTCATGCGTCTCCCTGGAAGCCCAGCCCCGATTGCCAGGTGGTTGTTTGGTCCTGCCTGAGTCAGGCTACCCCAGCGGCATTAACTCGGGATCCAGGGGGGTCGGAATCCAGTGACTCGCGATTTGTTTCCGTTTCGGGCACCCACCTCCGACCATGTCTAGAGCGGGATTGACTCCTGCGGGTTTCACCCAGTGCTGAGGTTGCACGGTGTCGCCCGCCCATCCCAAGAGCCCAGCCCTCCCCACCCCCCCCA